CGTATGTAAAATACCAAATGCAAGCAAGGCTGAAAAGCAACTAGCAATAGATTACGTAATATTTAAATAGCTGAAAATAAAATATATCCTGAAAGCAATTCACCCATATGAATACATATGGCTTTCGGATATATTATCGTGAAACCGAAAAGTACGCGTTTAAACAACTATTTTGTTATCGAGGATACAGATCCGCAACCAATCACGTGGAGTGTTTCCGGTTTAGTAATCAAAAGGATTAAGGATAAAGCTTATCGAAGGAAAAAAATTGTTTGTGCAAGAAAATATCAAATTTATCTAACGTCAGGAAACAATCATAAGACACACAGTAAAATAGGGATATCTTTCGCGCGACAGAACATGAAATTCTAGCTATACTTAATATAATGTTACAAAGAAAAAAAGTTAATATCAAATCTAATACATTTTAATTAACGCAATCATTGTTTTATATATAAGCAGTAATATATAATCTTCTTACAAAGATTTAATAACTTTAAATTTTAAACAATATTATAATTTTATTTTAATATTATAATAGTTACCTAGAAAGAACAAATTATGATTATGATTATATTTAGATTATTAATGTTTTATTTTTTATCTAACATTTTTCTCCGCTAAAAATTATTGAATAATAAAAGTATATTTTTTTAGTAGAACTTATATGAAATTTCTTTATATAAATTATAATTTGACATGAATTACATCTATTAAAGGATATAATTTTATTTCAATATCATCTTATAATGTATAATCTTATTTACATATCGAAAATAAAAACATTCCCAAAATAAAAATATCTTATTCTTATTATAAAAGAATATAATTGTATTTTATAAAGTGTCACGTAGCATCAAGAGAAAAATTGTTTCGAGGATGATCTTTCTTGGGGATGCATTTTTAGAAACTGGAATGCAGATTTGCAGAAAGGGTAGCCTGATCCAATTTCGAGCAATTTTAGTAATTTGTAATGCGATCTTGTAACTTCTTGGATGAATCTCTCTCTCTCTCT